ATGGTCCCGCAATGCCAGAGAGAGCTGAAAACGCATTCTATGATATTAAAATTTTCCAGGTCTAATCTTCTCCCTTCCCTCATTCTTAATCCCGAAAACTACAAACCGTAAATCCATATCCTCCAAAAAGCCAAAGCAATGCTTGTTAATTTTCTGGTTTAAGTATAATCAGGTGATCTGATTGATTTGTTTATTAACATAAAAATTAATACAAAAGGTCAAAAGTCAAAAATCATTTATTTCAATTAGACCCTTACAGGCACTATTGAACGTCAATATGGTTATAATTATATGCACGAACGGCACCGAGACACAGGCACAGGACACATCTGTATATAGGTATATAAAAATCAATGCCACTTTTCGTTGTAATGTTATAACATAATTAACTTAAAACTCAACCATGCTTTTACTGATTTGGCTAATTTTGGTCTTGAATTATGTACTTGTGGAAGTCCAGAAAACGGTTGTGAGTAGAGAAAATTTAAAAAAAATCTTGAATACGTATACGCGGGCGACCGCTAGTATTGCAAAAAACAGTAAGTATTATGTTACTTGCTTTTTAAACATTTCAGAATCTATATTGCAAATCTGTATACATCTTTCTCTGCCTGTTCAGAAGTCATGTGTTTTTGAGGCTATATTTAATATGCTGTAGTATTAGTCAGCGCAAGTAATGTATTGTTATACTGACTACATCACCTCGCGATGTGCGAAGATGGACGATAATAGTCCTAGGTACCGGTAAACAGACTGTCTATTGACTCATATTATGTATTACGGATTTAAAAATATCGTAAGAAGCATTAAAAAAAGTCTTAATTAATTAATGATAATGTCATCATCATCAGCCTATAAGTGCCCACTGCTGAGCAAAGGCCTCTTCTCTCACGGAGAAGGTTTGAGCATTAATCACCACGCTTGCTCAATGCGGGTTGACGATTTCAAACTTACAATTAGAAATTATAAGTCCAGGTTTCCTCACGATGTTTTACCTTCACCGTATGTCAGTGGTGTCTAAATAATCATAGAAAGTACATATAACTCGGAAAAAGTCACATTGGTACTTGCCAGGTTTCGAACCCACACCCTCATGCATGAGAAGCGGGCTCCTTAACCTCCAGGCCACCACGACAGTCCAGACAGTCAATGATAATGTAGTCAGAAATTAATAAGCTTATTGGAAATTTAAAATATATAAAATTCTTTCTAATTTTTTTCTTCTCAGCTTCTAATAAAAACTTTGTCTGATAAATTTCCGTCAGTGTCCTTAAATGACACCAATAGATACAAAGTTCCAATCAATATCCACAAGGCCAAATCATTTTAGTATGATGATTTTCTGATTTTTATCACCCTACGTGAGATGACTAGCGTTTAAACGACACAACACCTGAGAGGTTTTTATCACCACTCCCATTGTTGAAGCGTTGCATGCAAATCTATTCAGTTGTTTCGGAGATGGTTGAAAATATACAAGCTGACATATAAACGTTTTTTTTTTCTTGTATAAAAGTTGTTGTGTTCAGTACATGCTGACAGTCAGTAGAGGATGGTATGCTGAGTACAAAAAGCCACTGATTGCCAATGATGGGTCTGACGTCAATGCCCAGTTTTGACCGATTCCTTTGTAATGTAATTTGTTTGCTTTCAGTTTGTAAATGGTTTTATAATCGAATGTTTATTTTCACCTCTTGTTTATTTGATGAGGTTTCTTTTTTTCTATGGAACTGTCAATATTCTTACCGTAGGTGTGATTTGATCGTGTATTGAAACGTAATTGTAAAATAATCGGAACTATTAAACCAATCTGCGCACTTGTCTCTTCCATAAGTAGCTGTACAGCTGATTTCTGTGCTTGATATGTTTCTTTACTTTATGTCAAGTTAAGTTGTTACTAAGTTTACAGTTTGCCTGATGTGAGAAGATCACCATAACCTGATTTACCGAAACCATGCTACATCTAGTCGCAAGGATGCTAACATTTTTTCTGCACACTACACTTTTGACCATAAGAAATTGCGTTCCGTCGCTACCTCAGACGAAGTAGCTACTACACGCGCGCAGTGACTTAGTGCAACAGTAAAATCCTACTTAGGTACCTTGGCTGGAGTTTATTTACTGTATATTAGCACAATTTTTTAAGTACGTAAGGTATAATAATTATGTATGGGCCAAAATTGCTTTAACATTGCTTTAACGACATTCCCTCTTGTTCTTATCAAAAAGTGAAATAATAATCTTGGCTCATATTATAGGCACCTTAAAAATGACATCATTGGACCCTGAAACTTCATGATAAAGCTAAATAAAAGATAAAATATTCGCATTAATTCCCATATCTATTGTTTTTCCAGATTATCGATTGAGGTCCACAATTATGGAGCTTATGTAAGCAAATGGTAAGATTATAATTGATAAATAGTTTGTAATCTATTGATACAGACCTCAATTTTTACCTAAACGCATTTATTTTAGGTATACCTATACTTAATAAAATAAACACCTATTTACTAAATAATAACATCATTTAGTTCATTGACCTTTAATAAAAAAATGTATTAGAATCCTTAGGTACTGGTCATCAATAACATTACAAATGCGATCATAAGATTTTTGTGTTTGTAGGTAATCAGGAGGTTGAAGAGTCTCATCGGAAGAATGTACAATAAGCTCATAAATAGGCTTTTTTTATTGCACTATACACGTGAATACAATGGTAATTCTATAGCTAGTATTCAACAAGGTAATAAAATATAAATTCGTATAAATGAGAAAATCTATAATAAAGTTTTATTTGAAATAAAGTCTTCTGTCTTTTTTCAAGATACCTTGGTGTTAGCGTCTGAAAATAGATCTTATGTTTAGGCCTAACTTAGTCAAAGTAAGTCTTTAACTGTACCTTCTGTATCAAAAAATGTTGACAAAAAACACACAAATCTAGACTAATCTGGTAAACCTAATACTTTAGAATAAAAATAAGAATCAACAACCGCTTATAAAGATAACAATAAATAGACTGCGTATACTTAACGTACTGATTCATACAAACGTACACAGGTAAAAATATTTTGTTGAGATGAAATGCAGAAACTGTTATCACAAGGCCTCGGAACAATACTTGATACGGTAACTGATATCAAGTCCAATTCATGAACAAAATACTGTAATATTTCGTCACATCATCACGATATCATTGTAATCTAAATAATGACACGTGCAAGTCAAAATATTATGTCCAAACTATCATGAAGTACTTCAGACGGCAAACGTCATCAAATGATGCTGACTACACAAGTTTTAGTTTGATTTTAATGTTTGATTTAATTAATTTACTGATGGCATGATTAGTATAGATTTCTGAAGAATCTAGTCTACCTATTTTGCTATCTAGGCATAAGATAATCTATGTATTTGTCTATTTATTATATTTATATTCAACTTGTTATTCGGTATAACGATGTTAAAATTGTGTGATGTTCCCAAAAAAAAAACAGTTAGATTTATTCTATAAAGTACTACCGAGCCGACCCGGCTTCGTGTATAAATTAATGGATAATATTATACATAAAAACCTTCCTCTTCAAACACTATCTAGGTATTAAAAAACCGCATCAAAATCCGTTGGGTAGTTTTAAAGATTTAAGCATACATAGGGCTAGCTAAAGACAGAAAAAGCGACTTCGTTTTATACTATGTAGGTTTTGATCTTTTGTTATTTTATTAAATAAACTCATTGCAAATTAGAATTGCTGACTAGGGTAATAAATAGCCTATGTGTTTTTGTTTTAGTATAGATAAGCTCAAATACATATGCCGCGGACCCGCTTAGCGCAGGAGAAGGAATTCGCACGAATTTAACTCGCACGAAACGTGCGAATTGACTCCTTTAAAACATATTATTAACTTTGTTATACTAGTCGGACAGTAGGACGATATATCTAAAATAATTTAGTTATACGATAGAAAATGTACCTAAATTCTTTACTTTTTATTCATAAGTGATTATATTTAGAAATAAATCAAGATATTTGCCAATAAAACAGCAACTTATTTCTAAAGCCTAAGAAATAATACACAAAGCGACTACGGCTTTAACCTATTCTAACATTGCAGGTACTCAGCACTTTTGTTAAGTATCATTAAACTAAAGAAATTTAATCATAATCATTATGATAATTTTTATTAAAATCAAATTTAAACTATATAAATTACTTTTGTTCATTTTGTAAAGAATAAATAATACAAAAGTATTCTCTTGAATAATGTTTTAATTATTCTAATTCTAAGTAAACTTTGCAAGGACTGGTGTCTTTGAACGCTAAACAGTTGCTGTAAAATTAATTTAATTACTGAAAAGAACAATTTTGTACGTTCTAAAAATAGTTAAACTGCGTGTGTTAATGTAATTTTTTATAATGGTTGTTTAAAACTGTTCTATGATTCTGAAGTTTAGAAAATATTTGTAATTGTGTATAAACGACTAATCCTGATGTAACTCCGTGTTATAAATCTTATAATTCCTAGTAGAACATTATAACTGCTTCGCATAATGTATCTGATCATCTATAATGGCAATAAATTGTTGATCCCAAAATAATCATTATGTACCGGGAACTAGCTGACTGTACGTTCCCAGAAGTGCTCTCAACTGTGTTTCATTGTTTACAGAACAGTACCGCGCCATGCGCGTGCGCAGCTCCGGACAACGCCGAACTAATAGCCGACGCATATTTATAGCTTATCTTTTGGTGAAGAAATAAACTCATTTCAAGTCAGGATTGTTACAAGTTAGTTAGCTTTGACTGTGTAGTAGTTACTACAAAAAAGGGGTTATCCTAATTGTTGATAAAATCCCTTGTTTAAATGTCTATAGGTTCTGAGATTCTTTATTATCGGTCGCAAGTGGCCAGAGTCCCGGTGCGGGTGTCAAGGTCAGGGAAATAAAAGTAAAGTTTAAAATGTGAACAATATTTTAGTTTTATTTCATTATAATAACTCTTTTATCTTAATCCTATAATCTATTCAATAAATATACAGCTTTGGAAATATTTACAGATAATGACAATACAACGGCGGAATGCTAGGAGAGGTGTCAACCAGCTAATATTGCGCACTACAGAGATTTCCTCTCAACTCCACTGGTCCATTAACATTTGTCTACACTAACAACTAAATCACAGATAAATAATAATGTCTCCCGACCTTTGCGTCAGTCTATTTGGTAGAGCCTCTATGAGATTGCTGCAAGATCACTGCCGCGTGAGCACCGTGACGGGCTTGTAGATGTGCGGCGTGAGGGGGTGGTGCGAGGGCGACGGCAGCTCGGGGCTGGACGCGCCCGACGGCGTGGGCGACGCCAGCAGCGGCGGCGACGGCGGCAGCAGCGGTGCCGGCTGCGCCAGGCCCAGCTGCGAGCTCTGCATCAGTGGCGACTGCCCGAGGAATGGGCCCGACGGCAAGCGGTCGTACAGCGCGGGGGAGTACGGCAGGCTGCCGTAGCCCATCGCGTCGCCCCGGAAGGCTGGGTGCACTGCGCTCGGCGTCACGGGAGGAGTCTTCATTTGCATCGGCGCATACCTCTGATACAATAGCTGCGAGTATAGGCCCACAAGCTGGGAGTACGTTGCGGGAGGATAAGCCCCAGGCAGTGCTGCGCCGGGGAACAGCGGCCGCTTGAAGCAGGCCAGCCGGGAGCGGCCATTGAGCGCGGAGCGACGGCGCAGCTTGCCCGTCGTGCCACCGATGAACACATCTTCGGCCGAAGCGTCCAGCATCCAGTAGTTGCCCTTGCCGGGGTCGTCATAATGTCGGGGCACTTTCACAAAGCACTTATTTAAACTGAGGTTGTGGCGGATGGAGTTCTGCCAGCCCTGCCTGTTTTCCCTGTAGTACGGGAAGTTGGTCATGATGTACTCGTAGATTCCGTTCAACGTCAGGCGCTTCTCGGGACTGTTGCGGATGGCCATCATGATGAGAGCGTTGTAGCTGTAAGCAGGTTTCTCGTGCTTCTTGTCTTTCTTGTCGTCGTCGTCTTTAGGCTTAGTGCAGTCAACGGGCTCCGTGCCCGTCACATCCAGCTCGGAGTCGCTCAGATCAGCCTCGGAGGGCGAAGCGCCCGTCGACGAGGTGGTTGGCGACGGCGGAGGCGCCGGTTTGTTCATTAGTATTGAATTAATACTGAAATCTCCTTCGAACTTCACCATTTTGAAACACTTGTGATACACTTGTCAGACACTTAATGCGTGCGCTTACACTGCGAGCGGCGAGTGAACTGGCGGCCGCGGAGGCGGCGCGCGCTTTTATACGCGCCGTCGCTGACTCCGCCCCTACAGCTTTGTGAGTGCGCCGCGACCAATCCGCATGCAAGCTTTTTGATACATAGAGCCACGCCTCCGTTCCCGTAAGCTCCCCACTCCCTGCAAGCTCCACCGTGGAGTTGTTTTGTTGTAGTTGCGCGCGCGCAGCGACGAGTTTATTTATTATCTGGGATACGTTTTATTGGTAGTGTAGATGCGATTATAAATCGATTGTGGTTTGTTATGTGATTAATGGTACTGTAAAATATATTTTCATGGTGTGGTACTGGATGTTAGACGTCGGTCAGTTTATGTTGATTGATACTAGATGCTCGTAGTGACATGTTCCTGTGGATTTATGAGGATCATTACCTTGTAGGAGTTAGGGCATCACTCTCCAGTACCTTTCAATGACGGAGAAACCTCTTACTTATTTTGTTGGTAGTGTTTTTTTCTATTAAATTGCTTGAACCAATTTAATTAATGGGTTACGCAAATACAGTAAACAGTTAAAATACGATTATCACCAGCCAAGTACCTGATTAATTAGTAATACATGTCGTTAGAAAGTAGATAGGTATACATATTTGTCATTATTAGTGATTGGGCAACAAATCCATTGTTTAGCACTCGATTATACCATTTAATGATTCATTTGCCACTATCCCTAATTATCTTTAAATATTATCCTCAATTTTATGCGTAACCACCTATTTATCGACAAATTAGGAATACACGTTACTAAAATACAGATTAAAATATGATTTTTAATCGTGAATCATACCTAGGTACATATTACTTGATCTATGAACCATGAAATTAACTAAACTGATTCATAATAAGTTTTATTATAATTTCAGGTTATTCACTTATCAATAAATAGATAACTAAAGATTGTGACAACGATACAAACTGTTTTAAGTAATTAATAGGATAATCGCTATCATTATTATAAATTATTTGACAAAGTATATAGATACTCAAATATTGATTACTTATATATATCAAGCTTCAAAAAACTTACCTAGTCCCTAGAAAACCCATAGGTACGATATATTTTGATAAGCAGTGACTTTAAGAAAAATATGATTTTTGACTATACCTACTTGTAATTTTACAAATGCTCCCAAAACACAGTAATATATATATATAAGTCCAAATGACCCGGTCTTATCATAAAAAAACCATAAAAACAGCTAATATTATTATTATAGTTTCATGAAAAAACACGAGCCTATTGTCTAAATAGACCACAAAATCATTCTTAGAATTGTCTTCTATTGTTATTGAATTTTTGTAATTTTAAAACTTAAATAACTTGACCTCAACAATACTACCCACGATTTAAAATGAACCAAAAGTACACCGAAATGGGCACCCTGTGTAGTGTGTATAGGGGTTAATACAATTTAGATTCTAAATTGTATTAAAGAAGTTTTACTACATGATTGTGGTAATTAATATGGCATTTTAAGTACTTTATCACTACATGGGATAAAACAAAGTCCGTATATCCCTTTATATGCGTAAATCATTAGAACTACGCAACAGATTTTGATGCTTTTTTTTATGTAATTGGTCGGCAAACGAGCAGACGGATTACCTGATGGTAAGCAATCAGCGCCGCCCATGGAAACCCGCAACGGAGGAGTTACGAGTGCGTTGCTAACCTTTTAGAGATTAGGGATTTGGAGATTTAGGGATTCAGGAGGGATTGGGGGCGGGGAAGGATTGGGCCTCCGGTAACCTCACTCACACGGCGAAACACAACGCTGAGGTTGTTTCACGCCGGTCTTCTGTGAGGCCGTGGTATCACTCCGGTCGAGCCGACCCATTCGTGCCGAAGCATGGCTCTCCCACACTTAGCTAGCTTTTTTATACCTAGATAGACTGATTGAATAGGAAGGTTTATACTCAGATATAATAACATCCATTAAATAGTGGAGAAATTTAGTATCAGCATTGCATTCGTACGCAGCCAGTATGGGTCGTTATATAATATTTAAATCAGACTTTTTTATCAAATCGAATTTGGAACAATCGTAAATCGAATGAACGAACATAGACAATGAGCGGGGCATAAACTAGATAAACACAGATAAAATAAAACCTTCTTTGGTTTACGTTCTGTATACCCTTAACAATAATTGTAAGTAGCAGTAATATAAGTATATCTAGGAATCCTAACACCAGTACTTAGGTCTTATCAAATCATCTATGCATTTACCGAATGCAAGGCTACTTAACATAAGTCAATAATAATATTATAATCGGAACTAATGTGGTTCTTAATCGCTTGCATCATAATGAAACCAGTTTTGTACCTACTTTTTATATTATCGTCCAAATATTTGTAAATAATTTCTGACTCACCGATAATGTGGAGTAAGCTACCTTACCATATTATGGACCTTAAACACTTGGGTAGATATCAATTAAGTAGATATACGTGCAAATTGTTAATATATGACGTGTAGTATTTCGAGAAATATCTGCACATCCCTCTTTGAATAGGATACTCATACACCGGTTTATATCCAAGTAATTAATAATGTCTGGAACTTAGCTAGTCATAAAAGAACACTTAAAATATTACTTGATAAAGTCTCATTCTTGATGTACGAAAAATAAAATAACTTAAGTAAAAATGTCGTTCGTTCATTCATTCATAAGTACATATTTTCTGTTTGCAAACCTATTTAGGTTACCTAGGTCTTAGTTACCAATGTAGTTTTAAAAACAATTCAATTGAAATAAAAACCACACGAATGTTTTATGAAGAATTACAGATAGAATAATAATACTTTCTCACGATCCAAATATTAATACGAAGTTTTGTTTCGGGCCATTATATTATTACAATGAAATGCTAAACAATTAGTGGAAATTAGGAACAATAGACATTTTTAGCTTCTGTCTTATAATAGGTAATCGAAATAATACTATTACTATTTATTCGCCAGTTTTGGGAACACAATACAAATATTATTAATTCATCAAACCACAAGCGAACGCCGGCGTTCGCGCACCTATTGTTCTTCTATTGTGTCTCGATTTACCACGATTAAAGGTTCTAAACCAATAGTTATATTAGTTACATTCTGATCTATCTTTTTATAGGCAATTCTTCTTCAGTCTTTTTTGAATCAATTCTAGAAGAATTCTACAATACCAATAACCAAATTCTTCTGTAACAAGGGACAGGGGAATTCGCTTTAATTTGAGTTAGAATAAGTTTTTTAGTTATCCCTATTCCGTATAATTTTTTACTAGATATATCGGGAACAAACATTGTTATTTAGCTAAGTCTATGTTAGGAGAAGTTTGAGAGTGGCGCTGGTTAAAGAAACCGACCCGGTCGACCCTTATGAGATTAGGTGGAAGGAAGGAAAGACAGATAAGGTCAGTGATGACTTAGAAAGATTGTTTTTTTTTCATGTCGGTAAACGAGTCGACGGATTACCTGATGTTAAGCAATCAGCGCCGCCCAAGGACACTCACAACACCAGAGGAATTACGAGTGTGTTGAAGACCATTTGGTTATTAGGGATTTGGAGATTTAGGTATTGGGGGAGGGGAAGGATTGGGCATCCGGTAACCTCATTCACACGGCGAAACACAACGCTGTGGTTGTTTCACGCCGGTTTTCTGTGAGGCCGTGGTAGCACTCCGATTGAGCCGACCCATTCGTGCCGAAGTATGGCTCTCCCACACTTACAAAGCCTATATATAAAGATATGAAATTAAAAAGGGGATTTATTTTCAACAAACAATCAAAATATTTTTCAGTGAGATCTGATAACAGTGTGTAATTTCAACCTACGTAGGTATGTAAATACAGGTGTTTATTGTTTATGTATTGTATATTATGTACACAGATTATATCGCTCGCTTAGTTAATAAGTATTATAGATTATTCAGAGTATTGCGTGATAACAGGCGACGTCCTAATTCCTTACTATGTCCGGTTAGGTGCGATCCAAATCGTGAGTGATTGGTTCCGTGTCTGAATATAAGTAGGAACTTGATACACAAATATCTTGTTTGTCAATTTTTGTAGATTATTTCATTTCCTTCTTGTATAGTATACTTACTTAAAAATAACGTCGATTCGAAACCTGGCAAGTACCAATGTGACTTTTTCCGAGTTAAATGTTACCTATGTTATATGTTCCGAGTTATTATTTAGACAGCACTGATGTACAAGAAGAAAAACATCGTGAGGAATAATTTTTTAATACTTATAAGTTTGAAATGGCCAATCCGCCTTCAATAAGCGTTTTTTTTTTTTTGGAGGGGAAAATCATCAAATGCCTGTCTTCTCAGGTCCGGGCGGGAGGGAGTGTCAGACTCTTACTGACTAAAAACCCCCCTGTTCCTTCTCCTGCTCTAGGCTGAGGTCGCGGTGCCTCAGTGCGCTTACCCCGCAACCCCGGCTAAACATCAGCGTTGTCTGTGGTGGTCTATTGGCTCTTTGAGGCGCGCGCGGAACGCTACGCGCCGTAAGCTCGGGCCTGGTTCTGGTCGGGCGGCGAGCTGCCCTTACTCGCCGTCCGCAGACCCGCGCTTACGGTGGCCGGAGATCATCTCTCGGCCTTGAATAAGCGTGGTGTGTGTTTAATGTTCAACCCATCTCCGTGTTTGAAGAGGCAGATGCTCAGCAGTTAGCACTTATAGGCTGATGATGATAGTTAAAAATAGTTCGATTTACGGTACGGTAAAAACCTTCATATAGGTACTTAAAATTACTGAAAACAAATTACGTCCTATATAAAAAACTAATTTCACTAACGACGCACAGTAAACAAGGCGCTTTTACAAAGAGACTTTTTTAGTGTGCAGTTTTTTTTTGTTATTGCTATTTTTTTTTGAGTAATAATAATATGTTGTGATGATTTGAAAAGGTCGATAGAAAAATATAATTATTTTACGTACCTAATCTATCCACCGGTGATGTTTGCAAGCG